AACAAAACGTAAAACAGTACAATACTTAAACAAAAAACTTTATGGAATAATAATAATGTTAGAAGTTATTTAGGACAAAATTCAATTTACTTTTATACATCTATCTAGGATATGATTTTTATATACCTAATTAAAATATAGCAATAAAAGAGAAGTAGATTATAATAATATACAATGATATAATATATAACAACAACATTATAAATAATATAGTAATATAAGTATCAGTAATAGTAATAGACAATAATAATTAAAACTCCAGTTATTGGTAATAATAATCAAAATAAAAACTAACGATAAAAATAAAAATTCTATTAGTATTAATAATAATAGTAATAATAATAATAGCAATAATAATAATATCAATGATAAAAATAGCAATATTTATAATAGTGAGAGTTGGAAATAGAATTGTGATATAAAAATAATATTAATTTGAGAAAAAGCAAGTATTAGTAGTAATAAATCAGCATTGAAATTAAGAAAATAGTAGAAAAGAATTTAAAAAAAATCAGTTATTAATAGCTTTAAACCAGCATTGAAGCTTAAATTTTGAGATAATATTGTAACTGCATGTTTTATCAAAGAGTTTTTAAATTTTGTTTTTTATTTTGTGCTACTCCAAGTTATGTCAAGTTATAAAGTTAAAATGGATTTTATATAGTTAGCAGTAGAGTAGCATATAAATTAGGAAGAACACTTGTTTAATAAAAAATTAAATAGATTGTTTTTGAATTTGGAAAATGTAGGAAGAGATTTTAACTGTGGGGGGAGACTATTCCATGTGCATATGCTCTGATATTTAATTGATTCATGCCCATGACAAACAGTTCCTTGTTTAGGTATAGATAATTTGAAGCTTTTAGCTGGTTTAAGTTGGTAATGAGTATTTTTTTTATAAGTAAAAAAATCAGTAAATGGAGGAGGTAAGGTTTTATGTTGTTGTTTCCAAACAAACAAACATTTAGAGTATTGAATAAGGTCTTTTAATTTAAGTATCTTTGATATGTAGTAGAGGATATTAGGCTCAGAGTTAAAATGCTAGAAATATATTGTTTTTAGGGTTTTATTTTGGAGAAATAAAACCCTAAAAACAATATATTTCTAAAAAATTAGTTATATATATCATAAAATCTTAAAAAAGAAGAAACAACAACAAAAAAACAACGCGTTTATGAAAAATTTATTAAAAAAAAACTTTCGCAATGAGTCAAATTACGAAAACTACAAATAACTTTTTGAATCAATTATAAAGTTTTCAAAATAAGTTGTAGAGGAGAGTGGGGTACCATAATAGAAGCCTTTATGAAAATAACAATATTCTTTACAATAAACAGTTTGGATTTTTGATTCGGATTACTCCACTGGTCAAGCAATTATCCTTTTTGTTCAAAATATTTTTAAGGAATTAGATAAAAATAAATAAACGGGATTAAACATTTAAATACTAAATGGTTTTAAAGCTGTTTATCAAATACGTAACAATTCTTTCAAAATACGTAACTTTCTTTTAGTTGCAAGGGTCAATTTTAGAACCACTCTTATTTTGAATTTATATTAATGATTAACTCTTGTAACTTACAATACGTAATTTTGTATTCTGTTGATACAAATTTGTTTCATGCTCATCATGATATGAAAGTGTTGCTTAATTTAGTCAACAAAGAATTCTTATAACATACAGAATGGTTAAATGAAAAAAATTTGTCAATTAATTTAACTAAAACAATTTATACTTTTTTCCATCGCTTTCACAAAAGCGATAAAATTTCCTTAAAAATTCCACTTCTTTGAATTAGCAGTCAAGCTAAAAAGAGAAAATACTCATTAAAATTTCTAGGTGTACTCCTTGATAGTGTGTAACTTGGGTAGTTCATATATACATGTATTTTCTTGAAGGTAAAATCTCGAAAAATATTTGCCAAATATAAAACTTGCTTAAAATTGCTATATTTCTCCTTTATTCATTGTTATCTGAATTACGCAAACGTAACTTGGAGTAGCACAAAATAAAAACAAAATTTAAAAACTCTTTGATAAAACATGCAGTTACAATATTATCTAATGTACCTCAAAGAACTATTTACAAAGTTGCATGCATTCTATGTCTACCAACTAAACATTAAATGTTGTTTTTGGATTAACTACGAACATAAAAATTGAAAAATGATAAATTTATTATCTTTCACTTTTTATGTTCATAGTTAATCCAAAAACAACATTTAACATTTTTAATTCGTTATTCATAACAAATAAGCACAGATACTCAAACAACACTTATGTTCAGCCCAAAAGTATTTTTTGCTGCAACTAAGCATATATATATATATATATATATATATATATATATATATATATATATATATATATATATATATATATATATATATATATATATATATAAATATATTAAAATAAAAATTAAACAAAATTGAATAAAAACTTAAATTAACAAGTTATTATTTATTTTAAAGTAAAATAAAAAAAATGGTCATTATTAAAAATATAAAATTTGCTTATTATCTATCTTGATATATATTATTTGGTATGATCTTATTTCTTGCTTTATATATTAAATGTATAAAGCAAGAAATAAGATCATACCAAATAATATATACCATAACGAGAATAGAGTGAAATCGTAAAATCGTGAAATAGAGAAATAGTGTAAGGTCAATAGAGGCAGAAATCTGAAAAGTTTTTTGAATGTCTAGAAACATTTTTTCCATGAAATATTTTTTTATTGTGGTTATTAAGGTGCTCCAAGAGTTTCTTTCGGTCTAATCACAGAGCACTACGGTAGAGTCTATTTAACTAGGAAATTCACGTCTCCTTACTTACCAACAATGGTTATCTGGCCGAAGCAGGCATTAAACCTCGAACTTCTCAGCTCTGAACTCTATTTACTGCAACAGGCTGCTTTTAAAGTATAAATCAGATTTTTATAATTATAAAACAAGGTAAAAAATAATCCCAAAATTGTAAAATGAAGTAGGTATGAAATTTTTTTTTTTTTTGGCTTGGACCACAATGTAATTGTGAAACTTTATCAAATTATTGCATTAGCATTTTGGTGAAACTGTGAAGAAAACACAGAAAACATTTTGCATTTTAAAAAATACACATATTAAAGTACTTATCTTTAAAATTTTATACAATTTTGACCGGTAGTTTCAGAGAAATATTACTTTGTTACATAAGCGCCCTTAGGATTTTTTCCAAAGAGGGGGATAAACGGGCACAAATTTTTAGTACTTAAAAAAATGAAAAAAGGTTCACGTTAGGAAGTTTAAAGCTTAAATTAACATAAAAAGTAACATATAATCTTAAATTAAGTTTTCACAACTTTGAAATTATTCTATTAAACAGAAAGAAGGTGATTGATTGTCTACCAGGGGTTTCTCAGCAGAATACAGAAAAAAAGCTGGAAACAACTCTTGATGAAACTTTTAAATATTTTTAAATAATTCTCTTTCAAAATCACAAGCTGTAAGAAAAAAGAAAAGAAAAAAAAATTGACGTTTAACCTAAAAAGTCTCACAGACAAAGATTAAAAAGAAAAAACAATCTAAGAATACTAGCAGTGGTGAGAATTATAAAATGGCAATCAGTGACGATAGTACAAGCTATGGTAGTGAGGCAAAGAATTAAAAAGCTAAAAATAGTTTGGATGACAACGAAAATCCATGAAAGTGAAAATTAACAGAAGGATAAAAATACCTTAGATTCTAATATAAATAAAATTCAATTGGAAGAACATGATGCACATCGTGAGCCTAACAAACACAAAAAAGAGTGCACTGGTTTGAAACAAGTGCACTCTTTTTTGTATTTGTTAGACTCATATCTTTCATTTATATTGAAGTAAACATGAGGGTTGTTTTTTAGCATTAATTAAGAATATTCTGCACTTGAATATTCGGCATTCTGATTTTTTTTTTAGTTAAATTCCAAATAATAGCGTGTTAAATAAACAGAGCTCATTTTTGTACTTTTACTATCAGGGCCGGATTAGGAAATTTTTAGGCCTGGGGCTGTAAGTATAGGAGGGCCTAATGTGGCGGTAAGGTAAAAATGCCGAGCGTTAGCGAGGCTAAACCCGGGGGTCAGTGGGTCGGAGGCCCACTGACCCCCGGGTTTGGGGGGCCCGGGGGTCACTGACCCGGGGGTTTGGGGGCCCCCAGACCCCCCAAGTAGGAGGGTCAGGGGGAAAGCTGCCCCCCAGAAATTTTTTTTCAAGTCTTGCTAATAAAAGGACACAATCTAGGTATGTTTTAGAGCATTTTTTTAATAATTTTTTACCAACTGGTTAGGTACAGCTACACTCCTTTGGCCCAGACACCCATATATATGTAAACTGACAAAAGGTCTTGAATCATGACTTAAGAAAGCAACAGCTGAGCTGTAGGTATATTTACTATTGAGACAGTGGAGTACGTGTATCAAATTGATAATGTGTTCACCTCTAATAAAGGAAGAAAATACCAATAATATTGGTATTTAAATGAAAAAATTAAAAAAATAAAAATAAACAATATTTCATCAAAATTCTTAAGGTATTGTATTGTTGTTTTGTCATGTAAATATTTTTTCATATGTTTTCCAGGATATAGATCATTGGGCGGTGACAATTAGGCAAAGGTCAAACAGAGAAGTGAAGTACATCATGTACTTCACTTCTCTGTTTGACCTTTGCCAAATTGTCATCATGTAATGTTAGACTGTACTAAGGGCATACATGTACTGTACATGTATGCCCTTAGTACAGTCTAGCAATACAAAAGCACCAATAACAATATTTATGTTATATTGGAATACGATAGCATTTAGCAATATAAGCAAACATATATCATTTTTAGTATTGTTGATGGTGTCAAATATTTAGCTGAAGCTAGAATCTTCATATATTTTTCTTTTGAAAGTATAAAAAAAACAATAAATATAAATTGTAGCATAATTTATGTATTATTTAGTTAATCAATCAACTTTAAAATAGTTTTTTATATATTGACTTTTCTGGCCTTTTTTGAAGCAAACTTCTTGATCACTACTGTGAAATCTCTTGATCTAACTATGTCACTTTCAATGCATAATAAAGCCAAATCATTTAAGCGAGGTTGTCCCATTGTTGATCTAAGTTCATTCTTAACTCCAGTACAGTTTGTGACCATAAGAGACAAATAAATTCTCAACACAGTGTAGACATTCACAAAGGTATCGGTCAAACTATTCTTAACTAGAAAGGTGTACATTTGCAGTTCAACACAATCAGTTTCATTGGGCGGTGACAATTTGGCAAACAGAGAAGTGAAGTGAACAAATTCACCATGACAGTTAGGATCAACATCTTTAAAATATGTTTCACATACAAATGAAACATGATCTCTTATACCATCATTGGACAAAGATTGTAGATTTTGAAGAAAACCAAACCTTTTGCTAACTGTATCATATGCATTAGCCCTCTGTTTAAGAGCAACTAACAATTGATCAACTATAGGCAAAAAACACTGAACTTTAAACTTATCAGAAGGGGATAACTCTAGATCTTCTGAGTCATCATAATCCCATCTCTGGTTCCTCTTGCGCTTTCGCCTTGATTCACCTTTGTACGAATCGGTACCCAGATCCTTTCCTTCCTTTTCAAATGCTGTGAACTGGCTCCGAAGAGAATGAACAAAATCACCCAAAGAACGAAGCAATTCCGTAGCGGTGTTGAGATCCATGTCTGCCCCTTGTAAGTACTTGCTAGTTAAATTGAACCTATTCAGAATTTTTGACCACAATTGAACTAGGATACCTGTTTCATGATGACTCATTATATCTTTCAATCCTGCGGCTTCAAGTCGTGTTTCTGGCTTTTGAGACATATCTTGACACATGATATCCAGTGTAGACTTCACTTGCGTATAGCCAACCTGGAGGGAGTGTACAGCATCATAATGTACTGACCATCTGGTATCAGATAACCTTTTTAAGGTAGGCATATTAAGTGGCTTTAAAACTGCCATCAAACGATTCCAACGAGAGGTGGAGGCAGAAAAAAATACAAACAGCTTATTTACACAGTCAAAAAACGTTACAGCCTCAGAACAACATCCTACAGCACATTGACCAACAAGGTTAAGCGAATGAGCACAACATGGTGTGTATTCAGCTAAATTATTATGTTCTTTTATTTTTGCTTGCATGCCATTAAGACGGCCACTCATGTTGGCAGCATTATCGTAGGATTGATCTCGGCAGTCTTTAATTGAAATGCCAGTATTTTCCATAAAATCAAGTAACTTTGTTGCTAATCCTTCCCCAGTGTGCTCTTCTATAGGGATAAATGTCACAAAACGTAAATTCATCACATATAGTTGATGACAGATATGACACATGACCTCGGCCTTTGTTCGCTCTTTTCTGAATATGTTCTGCAAGCAATGGGTCAAACTCAGCCACTAGCTCTAAGCAACCTAAATAATTGCCATTGTGGACAGAACCCACAATTTCGTTACTGCCACGGAATGACAACCCACGCGATGCTAACATTTTGATTACGGTAAGAATACGCAACAGTATGTCATTCCAGTACTTTTTCTCTGATTCAAATTGCTCTGTGAGCCTCTTACTAATGTGCTCTCCAGCTTTCCTACGTGTTAAAAGGGTTTCAATTGATTGAATGTGGGTTTCACTTGTTTCATGGCGAGCTAAGTCTCTTGCAGCGTGTTTCCAATCATCATATCCTGATGACATCAAGGCAGATGCTCCAATTCCACATTTTGAATTAAATAATTTACAATGGGTGCAGAAAACCTTATCAGTTGATGGGGAATAGCAAATCCAGTCTCTCTTAATTTTCTCACCATTCACTTTTTCCCAGAAAAAAAAAGGATTTTGTACACTGTCGTTTAAACTTAAAAGTGTCACCAGGCAGTACTTTAGTAGATAATTTAAAATCGCTATCCATATGTTGGCATGATAAAAACCCATCTGCACTTTTGCTGAAATAATCACGCAGGTCGTCGGTTATAATCCACTTAGCCACATCGGTGTTGACAGTGTGGGTTGTCAGAGCCAGGGGTAACACTGCTGAGATAGTTGAGACGCTTGAACTTGCTGTAGCTGAGTCTGTTGAGACACTATTAGAATTACCTGGAACTGGTGCTGACATAGTTAGTGAGTTTGAACTCGCTGAACTACCTGGAACTGGTGCTGACATAAATGAGTTTGAACTCGCTATAGCTGAGTCTGCTGAGACACTATTAGAATTAATTGGAACTGGTGCTGACATAGTTAGTGAGTTTGAACTCGCTGAACTATCTGGAACTGGTGCTGACATAAATGAGTTTGAACTCGCTGAACTATCTGGAACTGGTGCTGACATAAATGAGTTTGAACTCGCTGAACTACCTGGAACTGGTGCTGACATTATTGACATAGTGAATTTAAACTCGCTCTCGCTGTAGCTGATACCGAGACACTACTTGCAGTATTACAAAACTCAGTCATTTTTTTATTTTTGTTCAATAATTCATTTAATTGAATCTCATTCTTCTTCTTTATTTGCAAATGTCCCAACCGCTCAGGCCGCTCATTTTCATTTTTGATTTTAATTTTGTAAACGAATGAGCAATGCTGTAATTTTCTGCGGTAACGGAAGTGATCATAAAATAAAAAATGAAACTTAATCTCTATTCATTTATTTACTAAAAATGAAATTCATCTATAAAAAAAAAAATTCATAATAAATTCATTATAAAAAAAATTCATTATAAAAAAAATTTCATTATAAAAAACTCATTATAAAAAATTCATTATAAAAAATTCATTATAAAAAATTCATTATAAACTCTTTATAATGAATTCATATAAATTCTTATAATAAATTCTTTATAATGAATTCATTATAAAGAAATTTATAATAAAAAAAAAATTCATTTATAACTAAAAATGAAACTATATCTCTGTTCAATTATTTATTCACAAAGCCTCCGCAGCTCCCAATAAATTGATTAAAAAAAACTGAGAAACATAGGAATATTTATCTGGTTCCCTAAAAAAAAAAAAAAAAAAAGGAAAAAAAAAAAAAAAAAGTCACGGGCCTTAGGGCCTATTTTTTTTATAAGGGCCTGGGGCTGCAGCCCCATCCGCCCCTGCCTTAATACGACCCTGTTTACTATTAATTTGTAGGACAGTTTTATACTTAATTTTTGTTCATTATATACCGCTCTGCACGTAATGAACACAAATTAAGTATAAAACTATTTATGTTTTACAGTCATACTATACTAAGAAAATGTAACTATTATGCTTAAAACTGCACCTTACAATAAAAGTTGTAATAAACAACAACAACAACAACAACAACAACAACAACAACAACAACAACAACAACAACAACAACAACAACAACAACAACAACAACAACAACATCAAGATATTTATTCACCTTTTTAAATCATGCAATAATATTATAATAATAAATATAATAATAATAGCAATAATAATAATAAAAATAATAATAATAGAATCATAATTCTATTCTATATAATATATATACATATATCCAGTCATAAAAACATTATAATTAATTTGTTGTTTTATGGTCAACAAAAGTATATATTTTAGGTAAATAAACACTTTTTTAAAAAACTTTTTTAAAAAACCAGTTCCCCTATGACTAAAGTTGGTATAGGTGATTTTTGAAAAGTTTTAAATCAAAATTTTTATTATTATGTAATTCACCATAAAAAAAATTACAAATTTAGTTATTATAAAATGTAAATACGCGGCTAAATAGATATATATTGACTAATAGACTATAAAAACAAATAGACTATAAAAAGAAGAAAACAAATTCAGTTTTATTGCCAAGCCGCTTATAATAATTCTTTTATTACAAATGTGAATTTTGTAAAAACTTATTTTTTTTCTTTTGCTTTTTGCAAACTTCATTGCAAACTATAGTTTATTAGTAATACTTGCAAGCATTTCCAGGTAATTTATTTTTAAAGTAACAGATAGATGTTAATTATTACACGATTGTTATTGTATTTAGAAAAAGTGATATGAAATTAAGAAAAAAAAATTAATTATTAAATTCTAAATGAAGAATCAATTTAAAAAGAAAGCAATTTAATAATTTAAGAAAAAGCATGTATTTCTAAATGTTGTTTCTAAAATTTGTAAATAATATTTCAAAAATCTTTTGTATTGCTTTTTTGAACTTGTATGACAAAAAAATGATATGGAAAAAACTAACTCCTTTATCACCATAAAACCAACTTTATCACCATGAAACCCTGAAACCCTGAAATCCTTCATCACCATGAAATCATGAAATCCATGAAATCATGAAATCCTTACTTCATGAATCCACCTTCCTTCCTTCATGAATTCACCATGAAACCCTTCATTACCATGAAACCAACAAATCACCATGACATTCATCAACCAACTCCTTCATCGTCATTGTTGTTCAATAACAACTTAACAACAAGTAAATTTCATTAATATACTGAGTAAATTTTATTAATATACTGAGTAAATTTTATTAATATACTGAGTAAATTTTATTAATATACTGAGTAGATTTTAATAATATACTGAGTAAATTTTATTAATATACTGAGTAAATTTTATTAATATACTGAGTAGATTTTAATAATATACTGAGTAAATTTTAATAATATACTGAGTAAGTTTTATTAATATACTGAGTAAATTTTAATAATATACTGAGTAAATTTTATTAATATACTGAGTAAATTTTAATAATATACTGAGTAAATTTTATTAATATACTGAGTAAATTTTATTAATATACTGAGTAAATTTTATTAATATACTGAGTAAATTTTATTAATATACTGAGTAAATTTTAATAATATACTGAGTAAATTTCATTAATATACTGAGTAAATTTTATTAATATACTGAGTAAATTTTATTAATATACTGAGTAAATTTTATTAATATACTGAGTAAATTTTATTAATATACTGAGTAAATTTTATTAATATACTGAGTAAATTTTATCAATAAACTGAGTAAATTTTATTAATATACTGAGTAAATTTTATTAATATACTGAGTAAATTTTATTAATATACTGAGTAAATTTTATTAATATACTGAGTAAATTTTATTAATATACTGAGTAAATTTTATTAATATCTTGAGTAAATTTTATTAATATACTGAGTAAATTTTATTAATATACTGAGTAAATTTTATTAATATACTGAGTAAATTTTATTAATATACTGAGTAAATTTTATTAATATACTGAGTAAATTTTATTAATATCTTGAGTAAATTTTATTAATATACTGAGTAAATTTTATTAATATACTGAGTAAATTTTATTAATATACTGAGTAAATTTTATTAATATACTTAGTAAATTTGAATTAATATACTATAATATAATATATTGAAGTAAATTCTGAGTAAATTTTAATAATATACTGAGTAAATTTTATTAATATACTGAGTAAATTTTATTAATATACTGAGTAAATTTATTAATATACTGAGTAAATTTTATGAAAAATTTAATTAACTTGTTGCATGATACAACGCTTATTATGCTTGATCCTTAGGTGCAAAATGCCGCCACTCAAACAACTTCAACTATGAGATGCTATATTTGTGGTGCAACTTCAAAACTTATTAATAATTTTAAAATCAAAAAAGAAGTCAAACCAAATATAGAAAAGTCTGGTTATCAATATTGTAGGAAAAAAACCAATTATTTTAAAATTTATTGCATCTCCCATGTAAATTGTTTATGAAAGAATGGCAAATGAGATTAGAAAACAAAAATTTCTTTGCATAACTAATAAAATTTAAAATATAATTGGGTTTTAGAAACATAATAGGTTTGATTGTAGAAGTATGTAAGCTTGGTTTTGGTAACTCAATGGTAACACCAATGGTAACTCGATGGTAACACTAGCGGTAATTTTTTGCAGACCTGGACTTGACAGATAAAACACTGATTATAACCTATTATCTTTAGATTATAACCCAATATATTGTTTTAAAGTGATACTAAAAAATATCAAGTAAAGTAAAGTTGATTTTAAAGTATTTAGGAAATAAACTGCAAATTTATATGTATCCTATGACTCCTACGTAACATAAAATCCTAATTCATGTTTCGTTGTAATAGAGAATGCTTTGCTTTCTGATGGTCACCTATCTGTAGAAGCAGCAGGAGCACAAAAAATAAAAGAATCGGATTTACCTTCAAAGTAACGAAGTAAAATTATCTAGAGAGTTT